CCGCACCTCCATATCTCAACACCTACTGATGCTACAGGTCTATAACTTTGAGGCCAACATCACCTATATTATATCTACTTGTATACGAGTTTTCAGGACTATTGATGGTCTTGATGCCAAGATATTGCGATATGCGCATTGTTTTAAATGCAAAAAACCCGCACCTCTATATCTCAACAGCTACAGATGCTACAAGTCTATAAGTCTGAGGCTATTATCAACCATATTATATCTACTAGTGTACCAATTTTTAGCTCTGTTGATGGTCTGGGTGCCAAGATATTGCAATATGTGCATTTTTGAGGTTTTGGTACAAACCAGTAATTTAAATATGCAGCCATGAATAATGAATGTGCATCTATGAACTCTACATTCTCTAATAACCCTCTGTATCCTACATAATGCTGCCAAGGTGTTCCAGTGCTCTGGTCCTTGCCAGGGGTAGAGATTTGAGTGCACATTTGCAGCTATTTTTAGAAATCAGCACTATTCAGTCAATTGTGCACCCAATTCTGTGTATGAAGCTGATATTGTGGAGTCAATATAACTGGATATTATGACTCCTCATTAATGCAGATTTTTTTCAGCTAGGGGATATCTGGGAGAGAGGCCAGTGAAGCCACATTTTCATATTTTTAGGGGTATGAAGCATTAATTTGACTGTAGATCTATCAAATTTGGGAATTTCCCCATGTTCAAGACCTCTACTGAAAGTTATGAATATTCTATGATTTATCATATTTTTAAATTAAAGAGAAATGGCCCAGAAATAATTGAAATATGACAGCATTTGTCACAACCTATCCCCCTGCTCCTGGCTCAATTATACAGCTTCCAAGGCTGTTATCTGGCTTCTGAGGCTCATGGTGTTGAGCTGTGCACTTTCAGGATGCTTCTGAGACATCCAGGAATGAGCTCTGCACTTCCAGGATGCTTCTGAGATGTGCCATGTCTCTGGCTCACCCTATTATGCTGTCTAGCCATTGTTCTATTGTTCTCCATTGTTGTCACAACCTGGCTCCCAGCTCAATTATCCAGCTTCTGAGGCTCATAGTATTGAGCCATGCACTTTCAAGGCACTTCCAAGATGAATCCTCTCATCTATTACTAAGACTACTAGCTGGCCTTGGTTCCAGTTAGCTGGTCAACTTCTGGATTCTATGCTGAATTGAATCCTCTTGTTCATTAAAAATTGGGGACATCCAGATATTGCATGATAGCACAGCTCATTTTCCTCAAGCTGAAGGTGAGTCCCCACCTATTCTGGCATGTTCATTACAACTTTGAGTTCACATTTGTGCATGTTGTAGTATTTCAGTGATATTTGCAATCATATATCTCTACTGCAGGTGGTACAGCATGATTACAGTGCACAGATGGGCTCTTGGTTTAATACAGAACCCCATTGTTTAGAGTGCAGAAGAATTAATAAAACAATCAATAGGACAGCTAAAGATATGAGACAAAAATGAACTCGTAATTGCCATGCAAAGCAATGGCCCACAATACCAAGTGGAAAGTAGCGCTGCCACTGCAGGCAGCAACAGCACTACTATCATCAGGGGTGCATCCGAGACCACTGGTGGCAGCAGGTGCTGTGCTGCTGGAGGTGCTAGTGCTGGAACCGTTGGCGCAAGGCCTATAGCACTTCCTGACAATGCTGTCATAGTCAGAAAATGGGAATGTAGAGTAGTGGCATCAACATACCAATTGACAGGTTGGCTCCACCTTGATTGGAAGGAATGGATGCCAGGTGGCCATCATTCTGTGCAGGCTGAGGGGCAGCAGATGCATTTCCAGATGGAAGAGACAAATACAGAGGTGGGCAATTGTTGTGCATGATTTTTTGTTGGGGAATCTGTGGCCTTCAGTCCTTTTTATGCAAAACTCAACAGGGGGGTGTGGTTCTGTTCTTTCACCTCTGCTGCACCCTAAAACCAGAAGTCTGGTGTGTGAACAAAATTCCCATCATATCAAACTCACCTGTGATGTGAATGCGCAACATTGCAACAAATTCACAAATTGGCAACTTGCCGGCATGATTATCTTTATGTACATTATAGTTTGATGTCTTGCAGGTGTAGTGTAGAAGGGTCTAAGGCCCCTGGTAATCGCAAATTCATGATGCATCGTGAACTTTAAATTACCAAGATGGTTTACAACCTTCTGAGCTGGTTTGTTTGATGGTGCCTTTGATAATCAATCATCTGGATCCGTAAAAAAGATTCAGTACTCTTGTAAATGGTCAAAACAGGTAAATACGCTGTGCAACAAGAAGCAAGGGGAATTTGGTACATGTCTGGACTGTCTTTTGACATGATTCAACACATGCTGCCTGAAACTGCCATTTGAAAGAGACTTGTTCTTCTCATGGATGCCAAAAAATGGGTAGATGAATGGTGAATGGGAAAAGTAAAAGGTGTGTTTCCTGGACCGAATGATCACTTGGCATCTGAGCTGGTTCAGACAGTGCACATGACACGTTCAGTCCATCCACACAGTAAGAAAAAGGCGGCTACTCACTTGCAGAACCTTTCCACTAATACTGATTCCCATCCACAGAATCTTTGCCCATCTTCATTGTTCAGTGAGTTCTACATGGAATTGAACATCATCAATGGTCTAATAGAAACCTAGAAACACAATGGTTAACCCTGGAGCATTCAAAGAAATGCAAAAGCAATTCCTCCTGAGCAAGAAACATACTGATGTGTTAGATGTGGAAGGCAGATATGCTGCTGACACTCTAGCCAACATCCAACATCATTACTTTAAATGGTTCCCCATTGACATGCCACACCATGTCAGTACTTTGTGGTCCCCCACAGAGTGCTATAGGACTCTACTGGACTCCAGTGGAGTTGGCATATTATCCAGTGGAGTCCAGTGGAGTCCAGTGGAATTATACTGGAGTTTAGTGGACTCCAGTGGACTCCAGTAAGAAGGTATAGTGGAGTTCAGTGGAGTCCAGTAGAGTCCAGTAAGAAAGTATACTGGACTCTACTGGAGTGTGATACTGGAGTCTTACTGGAGTCTTACTGGACTCCACTGGACTCCAGTTTTTTTTGCTTTTTTTTATCAACAATTTATATAGCAGTGCTTGACAGCAGCCCGCTCGCTATCTACAGAACACGTATGCTATGTGACCTGGTTACTAAGTTAAGTACTTAAACATGTCCGCCCCCCCAACCAAGACCCTTCTGGTGTATATGTCGAAACTTCCTGGAGGGCAACCCACCTTGCGAAAATGGTGCATCAGGATAAGGGGAGGAGGCCATCGAGGTCCCGCTACGCCCCATAGTCGTCAAACACTGTTTGGGGGCCACACAGCGCAAATGAAAATAAGAACAGCACCACCTGGGAGGTGGCAGGGTGTCTTAAGGCTGACAAGCCAAAGATGCGCCTGCCTGAGACCAGATGCAGAAAGTTAGCAGTGCCGCAATTGGCCAATAGGTCGACTGCCTGCACAAATGAGTTGTCACAGGCGCAGGTCTCCAAACCCTAGGGTTCAAGGGTGTCAATTCACCAATAAATCCTCCAAAAGGAAGAATAACCCCACCCGAGGTGATTATCCAACACCTGAGGGGTCCCAGTTGAAGCCAAACACCATAGAGTTGTGCCTCAAAAATGATGCAATATCCCCGAGAAAATGAGGATAGTGTACAAAATATCTATTGCAGCAGTGAAAGAGGACGTGCTGGCAGGACTGCAAGGCAGCCCCACAAGTGCAGCCGTGAGGCTCATTAATCTTGAAGCAACGGTAGTACGCTCCAATGGGCGTGTAGCCAGTTATACACTGGCAAGCGTGGGTGAACTCAGTGACACTGTGTCCAAAGGTTGAAAGCCAGGGTCCCCCATTGAGATACGATGACTGAATTGGCCGTCTGTCAGGTCGTTGGAGCTCTAAGAATTCAGAGCCCTGGTAGATTGGATCCTGGAAAGTGGAACTCCATGAGTCCAGGAGTGAGTGTGTGGCTTGTGAGCAAAGTGCATCTATAGAATTGTCCATCTTGCAACGTCCAACCCTGACTTTGAGTTCAGTGACGTACTTGTGCGCCTCACCATGTATATGTATCAAAATGGACTACTACCCAGTACCTATTACATATCAGAATAGATAATAGTCTGTTGGGCAATTGCAAGTCCAGCATATAGAGTATGTAACAAGATGCTTAATAATCCTTCTTTTTAGAAAAAAGCATCAGAATTTGTAGAGCACCTTTGGTTGACCCTGAATCAAGTTATTTGATGTCATCAGCTGCTCTGCTTGGCAAGAAAAATGCAAAATACTGAAAAAGTAGATTACTTTTGCAAATTTTAGCATTATTTGGCTTATATCTTATGATTAATAGAGCCAAATACTATCATGCAAGTGGATTCAGGGTCATCTGTTATTGCAATTATCTTCTCCTAAAAAGAATTTTTCTCACAGTCATATGACCTGCATATTTCATATTGTTAGCACCCCTAGTCCCTGTGTAGATAGTGCACATTTTGGCAAAATCCAATTTGTCACATGTGACTCTGATATTGATGTCATCAGCAAACTTGATAGCTTTATTACTTTTTATCAATGCCAAGTCTGGGCCTAGCAATCATATATTTATTAATTGTTTCTATTTGAGGCCATAACATCAAAGTTTCAGAAGCTGACTCTGAAGGAATAGGCAAATAAAAAGTCACATGACTGTCCATCAATCTTGGCGTCAGTCACATTTCTCTTCTATGACTATGACATCTCTCTGCATTGTTCCCTGGACTCCACTGAAGTCCTATAGGAGTCCAGTAGAAGATGGACACTCCACTCCAGTAGACTCCAGTGAACTCCAGTAGACTTTGGGTGGTGACTCCACTGGAGTCCAGTAGGCACTTTTGGCTGGTGTTCCTGCTAATAGATTTCTACCAGACTCCACTGGAGTCCACTGGAGTCCTATAGGGATACGTGGGGGAGTGTAAAGACCTCAACGACATGGGCAGGGATTGCCCGTCAGGCTGCTCCAATGCCTCCCCCACCTCCTGGCTTAGGACTGCAACGGCATGGGCCTTCTCCTCCACCCTCATTCCTGACTGGGCAGATGAAGACCTCAACTCATCGCTCTGTCCCCTCCTTTACTTCTGAGGGCCCCATCTGGAAGCAGGTTCTTGTGTCGTTTGGGGGTACCCCTCCCGACCTCACAAAGTTTTTCACCGAGTCGGCCGTCCGTGTGGCCAAAGGGTACCTCAGGGATGGTCGATCTATATTGCAGGTCACTTCCATCGTCTGCACCTACGACGGCTTGTTGTTGGTTACCCCTGCTGTTGCCAGCCTGTCCAACTTGGACATACTGCGCAACTTCATCCATGAAAGCCTCCTGACGGGTACCCCATTCGAGGTTGCGCTCCCATCGTCGACGTCTTTTATAAAGATACTTGATGTTCCCTACTTCGACCCCAAAGGGCTGAAGATCACCCAGGAGGTGCTTGAAAAGGCCCTCCATACCTCGGTTCACACTGAGGTCTTTGCCTATCTGAGCACCAAACCTCGGATTGATCACAACTCGGTGCACTTGACATTGTGCACCGTCTACTGCAACCTTTGGGACTCCCAGCAGGGAACCTGTGCCAAGAAGGCCCTTGGCCAACCGATCTTCCTTGCTGGGCGGTCCTGCGCAATCAGGCCTGCCGCACGACACACCAGGGTCCCGCTCTGCCAGCGCACTTCTATCAGCCAGATACATGTATCAAACACTGTGTTTAGCCAGTGTGAACTCATAGATCAGGACTGTGATTAAGCAGTCAGGTTTTCTGAGGCTGCTGGGGTGAGTTTGCCAGAGATGCTGGGGCTATAGAGATTTGTTTGGAGGTGGGAGGGGGTAAATAAATGACCAAACAACCCTCCTGGGGGTGGGGTGGGGGTAGGGTAGGCCTGTGGGGGGCAGGAGGGGTGGGAAAGGTATGGGAAATCCGTCCAAAACAGGCAGGGATGGTGGAGGATGCATGATAGGGGCTAGTAGGATGGCGGGGTGGGTTCTGGGTGTGGCAGGGGGCCTAAAAATGGGTTGGGCGGGGCTAGATATGCATGCTAATAATTGTCATGGCCCCCACGGGGTGCGGGATGGGGCAGGGGAGCCAAAAACGCAAAAAATCCAGAGTCTTTTGCATTTTTAATACAAAACAATTGAATAACAAATTGAAAACTTGATATTTCGCCATGAAACTTTGGGGACCTTTGTATCTATAGTGGGGGGTGCTTCAAAAATATTTTGAGTATTTATTATGAATTATGGGGTGTGCCACACAGCCAGGAATAGTGTGTGCGGCGGGGTTTGATGCGCTTTGCCAAATTTGGCAATAAAATGATGCCTGCACATCCGTGCATAATTCTGGCTCCCCTTCGCATTATTTCACTTAGCTTTGGCTGAGCGAAATGTTGGGTACATTGATACCTTCCTGTAGACCTTCTTATCGCGTGAAACGGATGGAAACTCGTTGAGATATGGCAAACACAATTTTGGCTACTATAATGCATGGTGCACCCATGCATCCTGGGGCATTTTTAGGGCCATCTAACTTGGCCAAAAATCATGAAATATATGTCTGAGAAGAATAGTACCATTGATAATGCCAGGGGGTGTCTGGGTGTAGTATATCTGAGGGGGGGGTATAGATACACCAGGAGACCCACTCTGGATACCCCACTAAACGTACCTCTGAAAGTCTGAAAGTTTGTACGTGGATAGTACGTATTTATTCATGAATTTAACATATTTTATCATAATTTTATATTGCCTGGAAGTTGGGTTATTGACTGATTTCACACGAGCTAAGATATTCTATTGACATCCAGGATGGGAGATATTGGCACATGTAAAATCATGATAAATGACGATAAATGTGTAGGAACAGAACGAGATACTTGTGAGGGCAAGGGGATGACTCTGTGTAAAGTTATTAAGGGGAGAAGGAGGAGGTAATCCCCCACATCAGTATCTATGTAAATACTTACCAAATCTGCATATCGCACCCATTCAATGGTGCGTTAGGGTCAGGATAATGTCCCTTAACATATTTCAGTAGTGACCAATGAGGCTCCAATGCCTGGGGGAAATGGTATTAGAGAATGAGCTGAAAATGCGCGAAAAACATGAAATTAATTAAAATGGGTACCTCGGACTTGTTCAAAAATTACCAAACTTCGTATATGAGGAGCTACTAGCATTCTGAAGGGACTGTAAAAGACCAGATGAGATTCTGAGCAGTAGGTGCAAAGATATGCAAAATGAACTCCGAAAGCACCAGATGCATCACAAAGTTGTTATAAGATGTTGATGCTCTTACTGTCATTCTGATACCTTTTTGCATATCTTTGCACCTACTGCTCAGAATCTCATCTGGTCTTTTACAGTCCCTTCAGAATGCTAATAGCTCCTCATATACGAAGTTTGGTAATTTTTGAACAAGTCCGAGGTACCCATTTTAATTAATTTCATGTTTTTCGCGCATTTTCAGCTCATTCTCTAATACCATTTCCCCCAGGCATTGGAGCCTCATTGGTCACTACTGAAATATGTTAAGGGACATTATCCTGACCCTAACGCACCATTGAATGGGTGCGATATGCAGATTTGGTAAGTATTTACATAGATACTGATGTGGGGGATTACCTCCTCCTTCTCCCCTTAATAACTTTACACAGAGTCATCCCCTTGCCCTCACAAGTATCTCGTTCTGTTCCTACACATTTATCGTCATTTATCATGATTTTACATGTGCCAATATCTCCCATCCTGGATGTCAATAGAATATCTTAGCTCGTGTGAAATCAGTCAATAACCCAACTTCCAGGCAATATAAAATTATGATAAAATATGTTAAATTCATGAATAAATACGTACTATCCACGTACAAACTTTCAGACTTTCAGAGGTACGTTTAGTGGGGTATCCAGAGTGGGTCTCCTGGTGTATCTATACCCCCCCCTCAGATATACTACACCCAGACACCCCCTGGCATTATCAATGGTACTATTCTTCTCAGACATATATTTCATGATTTTTGGCCAAGTTAGATGGCCCTAAAAATGCCCCAGGATGCATGGGTGCACCATGCATTATAGTAGCCAAAATTGTGTTTGCCATATCTCAACGAGTTTCCATCCGTTTCACGCGATAAGAAGGTCTACAGGAAGGTATCAATGTACCCAACATCTCGCTCAGCCAAAGCTAAGCGAAATAATGCGAAGGGGAGCCAGAATTATGCACGGATGTGCAGGCATCATTTTATTGCCAAATTTGGCAAAGCGCATCAAACCCCGCCGCACACACTATTCCTGGCTGTGTGGCACACCCCATAATTCATAATAAATACTCAAAATATTTTTGAAGCACCCCCCACTATAGATACAAAGGTCCCCAAAGTTTCATGGCGAAATATCAAGTTTTCAATTTGTTATTCAATTGTTTTGTATTAAAAATGCAAAAGACTCTGGATTTTTTGCGTTTTTGGCTCCCCCTGCGGGGTGACATCATATATGAGCCCCGCCCAACCCATTTTTAGGCCCCCTGCCACACCCAGAACCCACCCCGCCATCCTACTAGCCCCTATCATGCATCCTCCACCATCCCTGCCTGTTTTGGACGGATTTCCCATACCTTTCCCACCCCTCCTGCCCCCCACAGGCCTACCCTACCCCGGTTGGTC